AGGGAAAGGAAAAATGATGAGAAATGGAAAAATGGAAATAAAGTCTTTGTAAATAGGGAAGGGTGGAGGGGGTGAAGGGAGGGCTAGGAATGGGGGGCAAAGAAAATGCCCATTTTTAATAGCAAGAAAGATGAAACACCTAGGAATGAAATTAACAAAAAATTTAAAGATCTGCAAAAAAAGTTATAGTATTCCTAAGAACACAAAGAATATTGCACAAATGGTAGGGTATGTCATATTCTTGGATAGAAAATCTTAACATTACAAAGCTGATATTTCTCCTTAAATTAATCCATAAATTTAACCTAAAATAATACGGTTTTAAAAATTAAGGAAGCTTATTCTAAAATTCATACGGAAAAATATTCAAGGAACAATTCTAACAGGTGAAAAAAGAAACAATTTAAGTAGAATTTTTCTGAGTACATTAGTATATGTATTTTGCAATAAAACTACATTCATTGATAGCATAGCCTAGTGTTGATATAGGAATAGAAAAAACAAAACGCTATGAAATAGACTTAAATATATGTTAGCCTTTAATATAAAATGGTATTTAAAGTCAATTGTGAACAAAATTTTTTTCAATAAACAGTTAAGGGGCAATTGGATAGCTTCTCTTTTTTTTTTTGGTACCAGGGATCGAACTCAGGTCCTTCTGCTTGTGAGGCAGGCAGCGGAACCTTTAAGCTAAATCCCCAGCTCAATTGGATAGCTTCTCGAAACAAGTGTAATGAACAATTCCTATGTCTCTCAAAATAAATCCAGGTGAGTCAAACACATAAATATTAAAATAGTATACCACAGTAGTACCAGAAAGAATCATGGGAAATAGTTTTATAAGTTTGGTGTTTGGAAAGCTGTTTTATAAATGACATAAGACCTCTGGAATCCATTTAAATGATTAAATTCAATTTTATTAAAAATAAAAAAACATAAACATAGAAAAAGGGTAAAATTGGAAAAAAACATTTGAAATATATTATGCAAAGCAATACATTTTTAAATAGACAAAATATTCTATAAATCAATAAGCAAAAAAGACTATGGACTAATATAAAAATGAGGAAATTTCAACAAAAAGGAAGTAAAACTGTCTCAAACAGATGAAAACACTTTATTCCCAGTAAGAGAAATATACCAGCACAGTAATACATCATGTTTTGAGTGTATTAAGGTGGTATAGATGAAAAGTATGACCACATGGTCAGCAGGACACATGGATGTGTGCTCATACATTATTGGGGGTGGAAATTCATGCAGACTCCTGAGAGTGTAGTGGCAATCTCTTTGACATAAGAATGTCACCTAGCCTTTGATCTTGAATACACTTCTTAGGTGTTGATTCTACAATATACTCATATATGTGCAAGATGATTCTATACCAAGATATTCATAATAGCTTTTTAATTTTATTTTATTTTTAATTAATTAAGTTTATCCTTACATCTTAGGTGTACATTACTATTGAGTTCATCATTGGGAATTTGTACCTGTACATGATATATCTTGTTTCTTGTTGTTTCCTGTTACAGTTTTTTTAAATATTAGCAACATTTGGAAGAGTTCAATATACTTAGCTCATGACCTATGTAATCTAATTCCCACACGGACTATTTCAGTATTATTATCCTCATTTTACAAAAGGGGAAACTGAGACAAAGGGGAAGCTGAGACAAAGGGAAGACTAACTTACTCCTAACAGAGAAGAACTGGGACCCAAATCTTAATCATGGTCCAGAGTTGACAGGTTCTCACTAGGCTCATGTTCCGCTGTGGATATGAATTGTAGGCATGTGTGACAAAAATAAAAGGAAGCCACTCTGTGTGTACAGGACTGATAATGTAGTGTATCTAAAAACACATACATATACTTATAAAATACATGCTGTATGAGAAAACTATAAAAAAAGAAAAGGTATAGTATATTACTTTTTGTAGAAAAAAGAATATATTGATGAATGCTTATAAATACATGTCTTATCTTCATAGACACAAGTGTTTGTATCAGGGGAGCGAATGGAACTCAGTGGCTTGGGGGAAGAGCAGAAAGAGGAAGATTTACTCTTTATGTTTATCACTTGTGCTTTTTGAATTTTGTTCTGTGCACATATACTGTCTATTAAAGAAAAGAAAATAATAGGAAAGAGTAGTTCGAGGTCTGGTTTGTATAGCATTTTTTTTGTAAGTAACTCCTTTCCATTTAATAAGGGTAGTTTATATTATAAAAATTTAACATGCATCCGTAAGTAATGAAAAGATGGGTTCTACAAAAGTGAGAGAAGATATTTATAATACATAGAACCTAGGATATATAAAGGATTCTTAAACATCAGTAAGAAAAAAACAACAACAACAAACCAATAGAAAAAGTGAGCCAAGATAGGAACAGGTAATTCCTAGAAAAGGAAGTTCAGGCTGACAAATGGCTGCTTTGATAATGGAGGGGGAGTCATGGCTAAAATAAGATACACCTTTCCACACTTCCAGATTTAAAAGTTTGGCAGTGAGAAGTATCAGCGAGGGTGAGGAAAATGGCAGACATCACACCCAGAACTGAAGTCCAGCTCAAACCACAAAATGAGATGGGGCCACCTCGCTGAGTGGAAGATGTCTCCGAAGACTGTGACTCACAAATTCCTTCCAGGTACTTGGGGGCACAAGCGCAAGGAGGCTCCCTAGGGGCACTGGTTTTGTTTTAAAGAAGGTATTTATAGGATGTGTTGGCTAATGTAATTCTCAAATACTTTATCTTAGAGTTTCTAAAGCACTGGACACTTGTTACCTGTGACATCTGTGAAATCGACATTGCTCCTGTATTTCTTTTTCTTTTTTGCTCTAGAATTTTCAATACACATTCAAGCTAATTGCTTCACAGATATTGCAAGTGCCTTATGATAGCCTAGTGTCCCCAATTCTTCTCCCCTGGCCGTGTGTCATTCCCTCCAGCCTCCTCATTCATTTCACATGCAGGAGTTGTGATTGAAAAATAAGACAAATGTTTAAATAGAATTTTTTTATTACAGCAAAAGATACATTGCCGTTAATCCCTCTTACTTCAGATATACTCATTTCATCATTCTAGCCACTTTCTGAAGCAGCTCGGGAAGTCCTCTCTCATGAGTGCGTTTATGAAGTATGATCAAAACATACAGTGAATGCTGCTGGCGAGTACCAGCCAACAGACGCAGGCTAGTAAAAACATCATCTGCCTTTTTAATCTGATCTCGTATTGTAAAACTTCTAGCTTTTCCCCAAAGTCAAAATGACCCTGAAAGATAAACTTTTTGTTTGTTTGTTTTGAGACAGGGTCTCACTCTGTAGTTCAGACTGGCCTTGAACTTACTATTGTAGCCCATGCTGGCCTCAAATTTGTGGCAATCCTCCTGCCTCAGAATCTGGAATACTGAGATTACAGGTGTTCACCACCGTGCCTGGCAAGATAAACATTTTGAACCAATTCAGGACATTAAGGCAGCCACAACAGTGAAGTTAAAGACCCTCATGAAAGAAGTCTTCTGGAACTGTTTCAGAAAGTGGCCAGAACAATGGGATATAAATGTTCAAAGCAAGGTGGGGGGTATTTTGAGGGTGATTAATGCTAATGTTCCTTAGTGTAATAAATTTAAAAAAAAAAGTGAGTATTCACCATATTTTTGATCACATCTTGTACATAAGCTATAGTGATTAAATATGTTGTTGCTATTATTATTTTGAAAAAGCTATTAGCTATGAGATTGAAAATATTAAAAATAAGTTTTTATATACCTCCACTTACTCCTTCTCTAAACCTTTTTCTTTCTTTATATATGTCTGAGTTTCTGACCTAAATAATTTTCCTTCTCTGAAGAATTTCTTTTAACATGTTTTGCCAGACAGGTCTAACAGCAACAAATTCCCTCTTTTTTTTGTGTTGTTGTTGTTGTTGTTGTTGAAGAAAGCCTTTATTTCTCTTAACTTTTTTGAACAGTAATTTCACAGGACACAGCATTCTATATTGTTGGCTTTTTCTCCCTCAGTAAATCAAAAACTTGATTTTACTCCCCTCTCTTTTTGCTTGCGTAGTTTCCAAGAAGTCAGATGTAATTGTCGTCCTTGCTCTTCTACAGGTAAAGCATTTTTATTCCTCTAGCTACTTTAAAAGTTTTTCTTTATCTTTAATTTTCTGCCTTTTGGAATATGATATGCCTAGAAATAGTTTTTGACATTTATTTGGTGTGGTGTTTTCCACACTTCTTGCATCTGTGGTTTGGTGTCTTCCTCCTTCCTTCCCTCCTCCCCCCTTCTTTTCTTTCCCATTATACATATGTTACACCTTTTCTGATTGTCTCATAGTTTTTCAATATTGTGTTCTGGTTTTTTATTCAGACCTTTGTTCCCCTCTTTTTCACTTTCTACTGGCATACTTTAAGTTCAGAGATTCTTTTCTCAGTCTATCAAATACATTCTTTATTTCTTTTGATAGTGTTTTGATCCATAGTATATCTTTTGGCTTCTTAGAATTTCCATCTCTACTTACATTACTCATGTCTTCTTGCATGTTACTGGTTTTTTCTCAGGTCCTTTAGCATATTAGTCATAAGTGTTTTAAATCTGTGGTCTGATAATTACAGCATTCATATCTAAGTCTTCTTCTGGTGCATGTTAAATCTCTTTAAACTGTTTTTATCTTGCTGTATGCCTTCTATTTTTTATTTCAAATCTGGACATGACACACCAAGTAAAAAAACTCCATTGTAAATAGGGCTTTAGTGACGACCTGCCAGTAATTTATGTGTGTGTGTGTGCGCGCGCGCGTGCGCCGGGGGGTTATATGGACCTTGGAAGTTGCCATTCAACCCTGACACATCAAAGGCTGAACAAGATGAAAACTGACAACTCTTCTGATCCATCTGAAAGTAGGATCACAAAGCAGAATGCTGCTCTGGAGAGACAGACAGGTAGGGAGATATAGGAAATCAACAACTCACCTCTGCAGATATCAACAACCAGAAGCCTCTGTGAAAACCAGGGCCAGGCTAGGAAAACCTAGGCAGTGATTGATGACTGACTGAGTAGGTAAGTGGAGGTGTTCAAAACTCTAGGGTATGGGTTGAGGATTTATCTCAGTGGTTCCCCCATCTGCCTCACAAGTGCAAGGTCCTGAGTTTGATCCTCCGTACAGAAAAAAAAAACCTCTAGTGTAGGCACTCGATTATCTTTGCATGAACACTATTGTTTTGTTTTGTTTTGCTGCTGCTGTTTTGGTTTTTCCCCAGGCTTTTTTACAGTTTTTAGCTAGTATTCATGAAAAATGAGTACTGCTACTGAAAGGAAATCCTACCTAAAACAGTGCATTTCTTTACAGAACTGTGTCATACATCCCTTGGGCTCTCTTCTGAGAAAGTAGAATCAGGTCCAAAATAATGCCTTTTTCATTATACCCTCTGGCATTATAGAGGTAGGACAGTACTGGATCATACTTCTGTGAAAGTAAAATATCTTGTACTTGCTTTATGATACATACCATATTTCCCCCAAAATAAGACCTAACCAGAAAATAATTGATTTTTCAGGATGCTCCTAATATATATGTATTTTGGTTTTCTTTGATAGTTGTATTTGTAAAATTAACTAAAATGTCTATATGTATATCATGTACACATACATATTTTAAAATTTCATAATAAATATGCAAAGAAAAGTTATTTTGAAATAAAAATGAAATATTTGAAGAATGTGAATGAGCTTGAAAAATAACATTGTTATTACTGTAGCAGGTTCTGCCATATCCAACTAAAAGTAGAACACATCTGTATTTATTAGCACTCCTTGTTCTAGCTGTTATTTTATTTGAAAAATTTCAGGAATCTTTTTTTTTTTTTCCATTGTGATCAACAAGTCAAGGGTAAAATGGAAAAACAAAGCGTTAGTTTTATTTGTTCTAGAGGAGTCAGAGACTGATTTGGTTTCTATGCATTTCCCAGGGAATGTAACAATTTTTGCTGAGCCTTTTTGATTTTTGTCTCCATACTTTAATAACTCACAAAGAGACTCCCTTTTTGTGCCCCTAGGTTGAATTAAAAATCTTTGCAAAACTCCTGGTGGAATTTTTTTACTGTTTCTATTTGTTAATGAAATGCCAGAGAACAGTGGGAGCACCTTCAGTAGGGACAACAGAGGGACCAGAATGCTCCTTGCATAGGGGCTTGTCCATCCTGTCTTCTCCGTTCCCTACTGTGGGTGGTTTCTGATCAGATTGACACCCAGCCCATGGTTTTCAAATCACAAGTGTCTTCATGGCATATCAGCTTACTGTGGCCTTGCTTGAGAGTGGTTTGAAAAATGCAGTGCTTCTGAATGACTTGGAAAATACCTTCTGTTTAGGAAAATGCTTGTTTTGTGTTTGGTTGTTGGTGAGGCTGAGACTATTAGAAAGGATGAAGTCCTCTGGGCATCATCTTTCCAGTTTTAAATGAAAAGAAATCTGCACTGCCATATGAGCTATGAAAGCCACAGCCTGAAGCCTGAAATTTCGATTGTTACATAGCATGTCTCTGGGACACGTGGTTTGTGGCTGAAAGGTTGAGTGGCTTCTGTAACTATGTAAGGAAAAAGTAGGTCTCTGACTCTAAATGGAGGGAGACTGTTGAAGCGTGAGTTACTCTGTGAACTCAACTCTGGAAGCAAAATAAGGATAAGGATATTTTAGCAATTCTGGTGCTGGCTTTGGGATAAATCAGAACATTGCCCTCTGGGTCAAAATTCTCTGTGACTAAGTGAAAAAGCCCATGCACTCTCAGGTTTACTTTGTAGAACAAGAAAGATAGTCATGGCTCACACAGGCAAACGAGCACTCAAAAACCCATCCCATCTCCTTTAGCTGATGTTGCTGCTGGATGAGGTTTTCCTTATATAGATGAAACTTAAGTGTAATAGTTTGATATTCTACATGTATTCTTTAGTAGTACACCCAATGTATTTTTACTTTTCTTGATTCATCCATTAGTATTAATAATTAATTATGAAGTTTTAATTTCTCTGTAATACTTTGATTTTATTCCCTCCCCTTCCCCATTACTAAAGCACTACTTATTCCAGGAAATCAGAAAATACAAAGGAGAAAACAACAAAAAAAACCAAACTACTGTTTGTGTAAATATTTGCAAACACACTGATATGGACATACTCTTTTTTTTTTTTTGGTACTGTGGGGGTCAAACTCAGGACCTTGCACTTTCAAGGCAGGGGCCAGAACCACTGGGCTAAATCCCCGGCCCCATATGTACATAGTCTTAAACAACCAGGAATATGTTGGATCTTTTTGTGATTTATAGTTTATGATAAACACTTTTAAAAAATATCAGTAGATTAATACTTGAAGCATCATCTTGGATGACCACATGATACTCCACTGTTACGGATATATAATATTGTATTCCAATGTTGCTGGACAGTTAGATCACGTTCAGCATTCTTATATCTCAAACAACATGGTGTCAACTACATGTTTAGTATGTACCTGTATATAAATGTATGTTTTTATTTTCTTTAATTAGTTCCTTTTAATAAACTTAAATATGAAATTTATAGTCCCAAGAGCACACAGTTTTGAGGACTTGGTTAATTTGTGTCAGTCAGACATTAACTCAGAGTCGACTGCTACCCTGTTCACCGCTATCAAGTTTGCCTCTAACTGGAGCTTCTTTTAGTAATATTTCCCCTCCAATGTGTTATGATTGGAAAATCCATGAAAACATAAATTATGTTAGAATTATCTTTTTGTTATTTCTCAGTACTTGGGTTCGAACCTACGGGGTACTCTGTCACCGAGCTACATCCCTAGGCCTTTTTATTTTTATTTGGAGACAAAGTCTAAATTGCCCAAACTGCCTTTGAATCCTCCTCCCTTGGTTCCTGTAGGAGTGGGGATTACCTGCGTGTGCGGTAGCCCTCAAATATGTTGGAATTATCCTAATGAAACTGAAAGGATTTCTGTGCCCAGATTCTGTGGCTTTCATTTTGTGCTCCCAAGAGTTACTCAGTCAGGGACCTTCCCACATATATGCAGGTTCAAAGCGACTGAGATCCGTGGAAGTGCAAACTCCAAGGGTGAGGGCGTTGGCGCTGCTCTGCATCAGAATCTCTTTAGATGAGAGAAGAGAGCGACATGTCCTCCAGGTTACTCTTTTGAATAGTACATTCCTTAAACTTTCTATAAAGTTATTTTATCTTGAAAGCAAAGTAAAAGGAAAATTGGTCTTAGATTTCTTTTTATGCAGGCATTTTAAGTGAAATATTGTGAGGCTATCCTTTTGAGTAAATATTTGGTATAAATCTAATCAGTAAATTGAAGATTAAATAGTGACTGTTTTGATTTAAAATGCATAATGATTCTTAAATGATATTGCATCAGCTAGTTAGTCCTGGCTTTAAGAAGATGTTGTTTCTAATATTAGTCAAATTTGGCTCAGCTCAATAAGGTTATAAGCAAATGTTAACTAAGTAAGTTGATAGTATTAGGGGCCTGCTCCAAAACTTGGGTGGTGGAAGGATGTAATTGAAGGAACCTTGAGTCTCTGTAGCTAGGATAATGATGGAAGCAAAAGGGACTAGTGGCCAGCCAACCTTTTTGGTCACCTGGTGCCTGCAAACCACATTATTAAATATTTAAGCTTCAGTCCCAACCTATGTGTGATCTGATAGTATCACATCTTTGTTATGTAGATTGATGACTTTAAAGATTATTGACTATAACCCATTGTCTAATCTATATTTGCAATCAAGATTCAGTACCTAGGGGCTGGGGATTTAGCTCAGTGGTTTGGCCGCCTGCTGTGCAAGTGCAAGGACCCGAGTTCAATCCCCGGTACCAAAAAAAAAAAAAAAAAAAAAAAAAAAAAAGATTCAGTACCTAAATATACATAAATATTGTTGAAATAAAGTTTTAGTGAAAAATGCTCCTCTTTACTCCAGGTTACACATGGATAGTTTCTATTTTATTGTAATTTGTTGCATTTTATTTAAGAAATATGAGTGTATTGTCCCAAAGTGGTTTTATTGCTCATTAATGTGTCATGAGCTCCAGTTGAAAAAAAATGATTTAGAGGACCCATAAGAACAAACTGCTTCCTCTGATGCTTCCTTGAAATTGAGCCTGTTGCTGGACCCAGCCCAGCCCAGTCACGGTCTAGCCATTATTAATACCTCAATTTCATCATTCATTATTAGTACCTGTTTGTAGTACATGCATTTTACAGTCATCTAAAATCGTACAATCATGGGGAGTGGGCACATGTACATAATACAGCTTGTTTCTTCTTTAAATGCTCTTCCTCTTTCATCCCCCTCCCTTCCTGCTCCTCAGATTCCCCTTTCCCCCTTTTCATTCTTATTGATATTATTAAACTTAGCAAGTATGGCATGTAATGTTTATGGCATATAATGTTTACATTTATTGAGATTATTAGGTTCCTGTATATGGTGTATCTTTATTCTAGTTGTTTTCCCATCCCTTGCCCTTCATCCCTCACCCTTGGTCCCTTGGACATCTTCTATTTGCAAGAGATCACCCCCTTGTCTCTGTCTATCCTTCCTTTATTATCTCATTGTTCGTACTTTGTCTTACTCAAATGAGAGATATCATGCAGTATTTATGCTTGTGTGTTTGGTTTATTTCACTCAACATTATGTTTTGGATCCATTTCCTTACAAATGTCTCAAATTTGTCCTTTATAGCTGAGTAGTATTCAATTATATATATAGATACTACATTTTCTTAATTCAATTGTCTGTTGATGTGCATACAAGCTGCTTCCAGGATTTAGCTATTATGAATTGTGCTGGTATGTGGAGAGCGGTGCTAGCCATAGAGGCTCCATGTTAAATCTTACCCTCCATTGTATAGAGCAAGGAGACTATGTTATGAGGAACCGCGTCCTTGCCAAATTAGATGTTTACCTTCAGAAATTGTCCTGGAACATGATGAACGTTATGTAAACCCGAGAAACAAGAAAGCCCATGAGGGTGGGGAATTTCCAAAGAACTAGAGAACAAGGAAGCAGGTGTCTTTGGATAAGGGTCATGATTAATAACCAAACTCAACTGTGAAGAAAAGGGGAAGAGAATAAAAAAAGCGCGGCGGCAGTCTCTCTGAGAGGCTCCCGACTCTATCTCTGCGTCTTTCTCTTTCTTCATCCTCACTCCCCCATTCAGGTGCTGTTCGACAAGTGACGGCTGGCTCTGCCATGGGTGGCGCCCGAACAGGGACCTGAATACAGGGGGCCATAGTGAAGGACACCGTGGATCGTGAGCTCGGATAAGTAAATTAAGGCCGGTGAATACGCTCGGGAGTAACAAGATGGGTATTGGTAATAACCGAATGCTTTTTGAACATATGCTTAAAAATGTGCTTTGCGCTTGTGGAGCAAAGGTAGGGCATCAACACTTATGTAATTTTTTAGAATTTGTAGAGAAAGTTTGTCCTTGGTTCTCTGAAGAAGGCACAGTAGATTTTGAAGTATGGAATAAGGTGAGAAAGCGACTTCAGGATTATTACGATGGTCATGGACCCACTAATATCCCTATAGATGCTTTTAGTTTATGGGCTTTAATTAGAGATAGTTTGGATCCTCGGTATGAGGGAGAGAGGGTTGAAGGACCCTCCTCAAGTCCTTCCTCAGAGGAGCCTGACAAGGCTGGTGTTCCCGAGGTTGTCCCTCCGCCTCCTATGGAAAGTGAAACTAAGCCATCTGTTCCACCAGTATATGCTGATGCAGAGCCTGCACTAAGGAAGGGTTTTTTTCCGGATGAGGGACCCCTAAACCTGGGAGATGCTGATGATTTGGAAGAAGAGGCTGCTAGGTATAACAATGAGGATTGGCTCCCCCCCTCCCTATTGTAGCCGTGGCCAGGAAAACCAAAAAATCCAGACAGCCAGCGAATGAGGACGTGACCGAAAGGATTACTAGATTGGAAAAGAGATTGGAGTCTCTTTGTCAGCAGTGGCAGACAGGCTTAACGGTGGAAGAGGAAGACCAGAATACTCAGGGCGAGGGAGGAATAGTTCCTAGTATAATTGCTGGTCTTGATCCCCTGCCGGTTGCAGGTCCAAGATTAATGAAAAAAACTGACCCTCTTATAGCCATGATTAAACATCCCCCAGGACCCAGGCCTTTGTCTGTCAATTCTCGGTCTCTGTCGCCATTACAAGCTACCCTGCAACATGCGGTTGACAGAGGGGAAGATACCCAGGGCTTTCATTTAGCTTGTCCAGTATTTGAGGAAGCTGACGCTCAAGGGAATATGGTCAGAATCCATTGGCCAATATCTTTTAAGCAACTCAAAAAGTTAAAAATGGCATGTGCGCAATATGGCCCTACCGCACCTTTTACTCAGGCTATGTTAGAATCGTTGAGCACAGAGGCGTTGCCTCCCGGAGATTGGAAACAGCTTGCTAAGGCATGCCTATCTGGGGGAGATTACCTCCTTTGGAAAACAGAATTTTCCGAGCAGTGTCAAAGAACAGCTGAATTAAATCAGGCTAATAGAAATGATATTGATTATGACATGCTGGCAGGAGAAAGGCAATATGCGGACCTCGCCAATCAATTATTGTTTCTTGCAGGAGTATATGCACAGGTCAATTACGCTGCCAAGCAGGCATGGCAGAAGCTGCCTTCTACAGATAGGCAGACAGAAGATTTATCCAAAATTAGGCAGGGACCTGATGAGCCTTTTCAAGACTTTGTAGCCAGGTTAATGCAGACTGCCAGTAGATTGCTGGGAGATTCCGATGTGGGATTGTTACTGGTCAAACAACTGGCTTATGAAAATGCCAATACTGCCTGTCAGGCAGCCCTAAGACCATTTAGAAAGAAAGGCACCATTTCAGACTATATTAGAATGTGTGCTGACATTGGGCCTGCTTATACTCAGGGCCTTGCCATGGCAGCAGCTTTGCAAGGAAAAACAGTTAAAGAAGTGTTGTTCCAACAACAAAAGAGAAATCCCAAAGGTAGGGTTCCGGGTCCGCCAGGGAGTTGTTTTAGATGTGGTCAAATAGGCCATCAGGTGCTGCAATGTCCCAGTAAGACTCCGCCAGCCAATTCAAATCCGTTCAGGACCTTTTCAGAGCAACCACAGGCAGCACAGGACTGGACCTCAGTCCCTCCGTCTTCACAGTATTAACCCCAGAAATGGGGATGCAGGCCCTACCTACCGGAGTTTATGGGCCCTTACCATCAGGGATGATGGGATTGCTTTTAGGTCGAAGTAGCGCTACTATGAATGGTATTTTGGTTGTTCCTGGGGTCATAGATGGGGATTTCACTGCAGAAATTAAAATCATGACTCATTCACCTACTGGGATTTCTGTGATAGAAGCAGAACAACGTATAGTGCAGCTGCTGTTGCTCCCTCAAATACTAACAAATAAAGCAACAAAAAGAGAAAAAAGAGGAGATATTGGATTCGACTCTTTAGATGTTTATTGGGTATGGTCTATAGGAGCCCAACGATCTGTGCTCACCCTGACCATCGATGGGAAAAATTTTCAGGGTCTACTGGACACTGGGGCTGACGTCTCAGTTCTAACTACAGACCAATGGCCTATGGCATGGCCTAAACAATCAACAATGACACAATTACAAGGAATAGGTCAAAGCCAAAGCACTGAACAGAGTAGTGATATGTTATTTTGGAAAGATGCTGAGGGTCATCAGGGTAGATTCCAGCCGTATATTGTGCCGGGGCTGCTGGTTAATTTATGGGGCAGAGATGTTATGAAAGAAATGGAGGTGTATTTATATAGTCCTAGTGAACAGGTCACCCACCGAATGTTTGAACAAGGGCTTTTACCTAATCAAGGCTTGGGAACTAAAGGTCAGGGGATACAGGAGCCTTTAATGCTGATCCAACGACCTCCAAAAACAGGCTTAGGGCTTTTTTAAAGGAGGCCACTGGTCAGCCTGTACTCCACGTGGATCCCATTACTTGGAAAAGTGAGGAACCTGTGTGGGTGGATCAGTGGCCTCTCACCGAGGAAAAAATTGAAGCTGCTGAGCAGTTAGTACAGGAACAGCTCGATAGCAGACATGTAGCTCCTTCTAATTCTCCTTGGAACTCTTCTATCTTTGTCATTAATAAAAAATCGGGGAAATGGAGATTATTACAAAATCTTAGAAAAGTCAATCAGACTATGGAAGTAATGGGAGCTTTGCAACCAGGATTGCCTATGCCATCAGCTTTGCCTGGAAATACTTATAAAATCATTGTAGATTTAAAGGATTGTTTTTATACTATTCCACTTGCTCCTGAAGATTGTAAGCGATTTGCTTTTAGCATACCCTCAACAAATTTTAAGGAGCCTATGAA